TCTAGAATTGTTTGCTTCTACTTGCCTTGTTTGTATGATTGCAAATGGTTATCTTGGACACCTAGAGTTAAGGTAGCATGCCTAAAATGTTTTGCTAAATTGTAAGTACTTGATCATGTATAGCTAGCTGGTTGTATGACATGCTATTTGTGTATAGTGTAACATATGCTTGTTTAGTATGCTTGTTGCATTCCTTCATGTGTATTCTTTATGTTCATGCTTGCATCTATGCATCTCATCCTAGGTACGCTAGATACATCACGTGGACGATAAGATGATAATGTGGAACCAGAGACAATGGTGTATGGTGGACCTATCCCGAAGGTGGAAGGACTGGACAAGTGCTAGAACGGGAGATGCTCACTTAGCGAGTGTCGCCTACCTAACAATCGACTTGTGTCGGATCCCGTGCAAGCCCCGGAGCATATTAAGCCTCCTAATTTCTGAAATGCAATTAAATTATTATTGTTACATATATATTGTTGCATTAAGTTTAGGTGTTGGATGCAAACACTTGCTGCATTGGTTATCCAATCCTTGTCCGAGATATTGATACCACGAATCCTATGTAGCTCGGGCTCGTGTAGTGCTTAGCCCTGCGCCAAACACGGTAGAAGTCGGGTGATTTCTATCACCGCGCGAGATATAGGAATATACATATGGCACGGTTGGCTATATTTGCTATCGTGGAAAAGAACCTATCTTAATTTGAAATGAACCCGGACGGAGGCTTGTCGGTTTGTAGTGTCTATCAGGTCGATTAAGGATGAATCTTGGAGCCTTTCCTGCTCATGTTGAACGCATGCCTCTCTCTTAGTTGGCCGTGTCTGAAGACTGACCACGAAGCCAAGTAGTTCACCTCAGGCCGGGAGTTGATAAGTATAAAGTGCGCCTCGGAAGGGAGCCGTAGGCGTGAGTCCAAGGGCAGGTGATTTAAAAGTCCTGATCGTCCCGGTAGAAGGGTAATCCCTGAGAGTGCTTGGCGCTGATCGAACCCGCTGAATTTGGTTTCCTGAGATGTTCCAAAGGTGACTTCACGGCTACCCTTGCAAAGTATGCTGGGTGAGAGTTAGGAATACCCCTCACCTGAGTTGTAATTCGATTCGAATCGCCGTCTCTCCCGGTTAGTGAGAACTTGACGGGCTTATCTCCAATGTAGATACACTAAATAACCTAATGGTTTGGAAATGATGATATGATGATGACAGCCTTATTATACCTGCTATGGTTAATATTGTTTGCTCCTAATAAGTGAGTGCTCTAGTACAGGTGCTAATCTAGTGGATAGGTAAATGATGATAAGCTTGATGCTAAGTTTAAATTGGTTACTATGCTCATAAGCTCTTTTATGCAAAAGTGTCAAGCTAGCCCACCTCATAAGCCTTGCATGATCCTTGGTGTCCTTTATTCTGGTTTGACGGGTAAGTCTAGCTGAGTACCTTCTCGTACTCAGGGTTTATCCCACCATGTTGCATGTGAAGTTCTTGGCCTATGAAGATGGTGACTAACCGCCGATGGGCTCGGTGATTCTATAGTTACTTCTCATCTATATGCTTTTGTCGGGAGATGTCACTTATGCTAGCAATGTATTTGGAACATATATTAATGTAATCTTTTGAAAGCTATGTTGTTTTCACTAATCGGTTTTGAAACCCAAGCTTGTACTATTATTTGCGAATCCATTTGTAATATTATTTTCCGCTGCAACCCTGCGTATGTGATGTGTATTTGCTTAATCACGCGATCTTGGTTGTGATGTTGATTTACCGAGGTCTTTCGGGACACTCGGCGGACTACCGGGTTTATATGAGTGAAAGTATGTGTGTGTCAACGTGTTAGCGGGGATAGCCGTACTTGATCTTGTATAAATTGGGCGGTTCTGTTACATCAATCCTCTCGACGGTGGCCCTCTGAGTCAGTGGCAACTGATCGCCTATACGAATGCCACTACTAGATCCACCTATCTTGGCTTGCTCTACTATGGCTGCCACTATTGCTGCTCTCTCTGCCTCAACATCATCGAACTTGCGCTTCTTGTTTGTAGTCTTTTTTGCCTTTCCTTTTTGCTGAGCAGTTAGGCGAGGCGGAGGCGTTGGATCCTCATCACCAGGACCACCCCTAACGTTCTTGCAATGAGCCATCTCTGAAGCTGACAAGAATCACTGCCACTGATAAGGAACAACTGCCAACTGACACTCGTGAGGCTTGGCCTCAATCCATAATCGCAGGCTTGGCCTCGAGTTAATTGACAACTGCCAAATCAACCATAAGAGCACCGACTCACTGCACGATGGAATAGATAGGAAATATAAATAATCACTATATTCATCTAGAGGTGAGAAACCCTAAGAAGCAAGCAGTAGAAGAGAAATTGAAATCGATAGCTTGCTACCTGATGAAATCCGATGATCCGGCGACCGATAAGCAAAGGAGAGAATCATGAGGCACCACTCGAGATCAGCAAGGTTACACCTAGGGCTAGGGTTGCTGGCACCTAGATAGAAAAGCTCAACGACGCTGAGTAGACCAATGATGGAGCACCTCATGGTGATGCTCATGAAGAAGTCAATGATGGCCGCGGTGGTGTAGGCACGATGACGCGGGCAGGGCGGCGTGAACACTGTGGTGTGGGCACAGTGCGGTGGTGGTGCGGCAGAGCTTTACTGCGCGAGGTAGGCACGGGCGCAACAGTGGAGGCGCAGGCGCGGGCGCGGCGGCGCGATGCAGGTGGTGCAGGTGACCTAGGTACGAATGAGGTGAAGACAAAGGAAAACTATTCATGGTGGCCCCCGCATGATAGAGAAGAAAAGGAATTTTAGATCCACTTGGATTCAACTGACCGGACGCATCGGTGGCAACGACCGGACGCTGCCACCCGGAGTCTGGTCGACAACAGAGAGGTCCAAAACCCTCAAGTCGTGACCGGACGCGTTTGGTGCCTCATGATTGGACGCACAACAGAGTTCGGTCAATCCTGACATCTTCTTTATTTGACTGGATGTTGGGCCATCTTCACACCGGATGCTGGAGGAACACTGTTCAGCGTCCGGTCACTATTTTTTAGCAAATCTTTAAAGTTCCTTCGTCACTGCCTTTTTCTAATCAAGTCCCAACTTCAATAAGACATAAATAAACACCAATTGGGACTGATGTGAGAGACCTCTCTCAAGCCCTCAAAATTTTCAAAGTATTTTACCTTAGGCTATAATTCTTTTTAAGAAAATATGCAATAAAAGGGGTGAGGAGCACCGTGTGACCATACAAGAGGGTTTTATGACCAATAGGAGCTTCAAATGCTCTCCCTATTTGTGGACAAACACAGTGGGTGCTCAAAAGATAACTGAAAAGAAACGACAAAGCAACACACATGCACATGCAATGCAATACTTGAAAGTAAGTCTAGTTGCTTGTCAAGTTTGATCTAAGGTGAAGCTTCTTCACACGCTTTTTGGCGGTTATCTTAACCATGTTAGACAACCCCTAAGTGCATTACTTAAAAATTAAACATGTTTTATATTACAATGTAATACAAGGGACAACACAAGATTATTTTTTAGTGAAGTTACTAAAGTCAAGCACATTGAGCTCATTCCTCAACCGACAAAATGTAGCCTCATCTAGTGGTTTAGTAAAGATATCCGCCAATTGATCCTCAGTCCTTATACCTTCTCATGATATATTATTTTTAGCAACATGATCTCTAATAAAATAATGGTGGATATCTATGTGCTTGGTGCGAGAGTGTTGAACCGGATTATTACCAAGCTTTACCGTACTCTCATTGTCACATAAAAGAGGTACCTTTTTCTAGAACTACACCATAGTCTAGCAATGTTTGCTTCATGTAAAGAATCTGTGCACAACAAGCACCCGTGGCAATGTATTCTGCCTCAGCGGTGGACAAAGCCACACTATTTTGCTTCTTGGAGGTCCAAGACACTTGTGATGTACCAAGCAAATGTCACCCTCCAGATGTGCTTTTTCTATCAATTTTGCAACCGGCATAATCCGAATCAAAATAGCTAACTAGTTGGAATCTAGCTCATTTAGGATACCAAAGACCAAGCATGTATGTTTAATGTACCTAAGGATTCTTTTAATGGCAACCATGTGAGCCTCCTTAGGATTAGCTTGAAATCTGGCACACATACACATACTAAACATGATGTTAGGCCTAGATGCGATCAAATATAATAAACTACCAATTATAAAACGGTAGAAAGTTTGATCAATTGATTTACCTACCCCATCTAGGGCGAGATGTCCATTAGAAAGCATTGGTGTCTTGATTGGCTTACATTTATCCATTTTGAACCTCTTGAGAAGGTCCTTGGTATATTTTTCTTAAGAGATGAAAATTCTCTCTCTCATTTGTTTGACTTGAAAGTCGAGAAAGAATGTAAGCTCTCCAATCATAGACATCTAGAACTTTTTTGACATCAATTCACCAAACTCTTTGCAATAGTCTTTATTTGATGAGCCAAATATGATATCTCCTACAACTAAAAAGAACAAAAGCGTGGACATTTTTTGGTGCGACATTTATTTTGGTTCGTCCGTCTGCCCACGACCGTGCGATACCTCGCTCGCTTCGTCGCTCGCATAAGTCACACCTCCAATCGCTCTCTCCCCCTCGTGAGATCCCTCTCCACCGTCGGCTCACACGGGCCCAGTGCGCTACGTGGCCGCGGGCGGGGCTGGCGGCGTTCGGCGGCACGGACGACTCCACCTGCCTCTATGACCTCCCCTCCGTCGCGGACCTCGGCCCGCTCCTGGACCCCTCGGCCACCGTCTCTACGCTCGCCTTCTACTCTCGGGGCCTCGTGCCGCGGAACCTCGTGGCCGCCTGCGACGACGGCGTGCTCCTCCTCTACGACGCCGACGGCTTCGCACTACTCGTCACGCTCCGTGCCTTCCCACGCCACGAGGCCGTCGAGGGGCTCGCCGTGCACCCGTCGGGCCACGTCGTGCTCGCCGTCGGTCACGCGGGGGCGCTCGCCATGCTCAACCTCGCCCGTGGCCGCCGTAGCTTCGCCTGCCACCTCAAGCGCCCCGCGTCTGCGGTCGCCTACGCTGAGGACAGGGACGGCGGGGACCGGTTCGTCATGGCTGCTGAGGAGAAGGTCGGCGTGCACGATTCCGTGGATGCTAGGATTATTCATCAGATGGACTGCGGCAAGAGGGTTCTCGCCATGGCGCCTGCCAAGGTACCACCATTGCCTGGGCATCTTATTGATTTGGTCATGAAATGTTTAGGATTCAACTATTATTAAAAGTGGATTACCGTGAGGAGCTGATAAATTGTTGAAATCTATCTTCTTGTTGAAATGTTGATGGCAAATTCAGCTTGCATCAGCCTTGTAACATGCTGAATTGACATCTAGGTGCAGGCTCATATTTTTATTATTGACTTGCGAGTATATTAGGATGCAAATTGTTGAAATTTATGGTCTTGTTATATGCAACTTCAGGTTTCATCAGCCTTTGGGTTGCTCATGACATGCTGAATTGACATCTAGGTGTAGCTTCATATTATTATTATGACTTTACGAGTGAATTAGCATGCATATTGTTGAAATTTGTTGTCTTCTCGAATGCAACTTCAGTTTTCATTAGATTTTCAGTTGCCCATGGCATGCTGAATTGACATCTCGGTGCAGCTCCACATTATGACTCTAGAGTTTAGACATTCATTATTTCGTGATATGTGTACTAGCTCTTCAAATTGATTTATATCCACTACCTTATTGTCTTCCCACTGATGCCTCTATTACCTTTTGCACTTTGCTCACATGTTTTTTTGTGATTTTTTTCAGAATGGAGTCCTTTACACTAGAGGCGAGGACCGTTGTGTTACTGCTTGGGATCTGTCCAGCGGCAAGGTCTCCTCACGCATTGAGGGTGCTCATGCAACTCGTGTAAAAGGGGTTGTTGTTTTCGATAATCGCAAGGGTGGATCAGAGCTCTCCAATCTAATTGCTTCTGCTTCGTCTGATGGTGTCATAAGGATATGGGACATTCGGACAATTGGGAATGGAAAGCCTACTCTATTAGCAGAGGCTAATACAAAAGCAAGGCTAACTTGTCTTGCTGGAACGTCACTGAAATGTAAGTCACAGAAACTTCATAATGTAGTGAGTATTGTACACTATCCTAACAAGTCCATAACAGAAACTTCATAATGTACACTGTCCTAACAAGTCCTTATTATAGCATAGATGTAAATAATCATGTCGTATAAACATGCCTTGAGTTAGTTTTCACAGACAAATTACAGGGCAATGTTAAATCAAGATTTTCATATCCTGATCTTCACTGAGAAAATATGTTCAGTTGATCTGTCAATATCCTCATTTGTATTCACTGGCTCACTGCTGCTCTTTCCATTATGTTAACAGTATTCTTTTGCTTGTTAAGAAGCATCAGTTCTCATGTATTAGTGGTTTTTATTTAAGATTATTAGGACAATAAAAATTTCTTCTCCATTTAATAACATGTTATCTTCTATTGTTGCCTAACAATGATTGGTGCCTATTTGAGATCTTACGGTGTACACAAAGTCCATGATCCTTTTTATTCAACTAACTTTTGTTTTCCATGTATAATAGTTTTTTTCTTTAGCTTGACTTGTTATGTGTAATGTGTTAATTCATTTGTTAAGTACCCTGTTGATTATCCGCACATAATAAGGCTCTGATGATTTACAGGAGGCCAAGGAACCTACAAGCGGAGTGAAGGGTTGAAGCAATTTTTTGACAAGGGGCTAGGCGTCTGATTTTGCATTGTTTAGGTTAGTTGAATTAGAAAACCTGGACATCAAAGAAGAATTGAAGATGAAAGATCTGGCATGCAACCATTATCTGGGTGCATTTGAAATGTATGATAGTCAGCCCATTATATACACCAACATAGTTTGGCTTCAGTGTGTGAACTGCAAAACTTATTATGAGATTGTGTTATTTGATTGTACAAGTTTTGCAATTAGAACCATTTTTAGTACTAGCATCATCACCTACGGGATGATTCCTCTGTCAAAAGGGTCATCTAATCTATGACAAGTTTTGCAGTGAGAATCATTTCCAGTACTGACTGTGCAATTTACTTTTGTTGTGGGTGTATGGCTCACTACATGCAGATCGGTGTGGTGATGTCGATGCACCTGTTAATATTCTTACGCCACATAATAATGTAGCTGAAAACCAATGCCTCAGCCCTGTTTCTTAAAACATGCCCTGTTTCATTTGATATGTGCACAAAAGGTACTAGATCACGCTTGGATATTTTTTAACTACTTTTACGATTTATCGCATGGTAAAAGAAGAATCTGCTTGAACTATAGAACACTCTACAAATCTCCTTTGTCCAAATATATACCTATCAGTTATACATAAAGATTTACTACATCTTTCTCTTGTCTTATGAAGCTTGATGCAATAATTTAATCGGTCAGTCATTATACTGATATATGTCATATGTCCTTGTACTTTAGCTTATCTGCCATTACCTGCTTGTCTTTTTCTTGTCAGGAAGTTCAGGAATGAAGAACAATGTATACTTTCATTTACACAAGTTTTGAATTTAAGGTTTTATATGAGACCTTTTAAACATATTTTTTTGTTAGCTATTTTGTAGACTGATCAGTTAACCATTTTTATTATTATATCTGTCTATTTAGCTTATTAGTTAACTGATGCCTACCTCTTGCCTCACATTATACTCTTGGATTTACCTTGCAGTACACGGACGTAGTAAATGTACATATTCCTGGATGGAATGAGGATGTCTTCAAATAGAAATTCAGACGGGAAGGAAACATTGCAGAGGACATAGATGGGTAACTAACGTAGAGTCACTATAGCTTGTAATAATAATACCTATGATTTAACTATTTCTATATATCGCTGTCGACCGAATATCGTCGGCAGTCCACCGAGGGGTATCCCGCGATGGTAGATTTGTCGGTGGAGGTGCGCGTAATCAGGAACCAGATGGTGACACAAGGCGCATAGACAGCGATTTAGACAGGTTCGGGCCGTCTGATCGACGTAATACCCTACGTCCTGTGTCTTTGGTGTATTGTATTGAGATGTAGTAGATAGATCTAGATGGATCATATCCACTAGGGGACCCCTGTCTCTCCTTATATACTCTGGAGGGGCAGGGTTACAAGTAAAGTAGCATATTTGGTACTATATAATATCTTGCGGTGCACGCCGAGCAGCGCCGTGCACGCCTTGATCTTGTGGACTGGGCCACCTCTGATGGTGCGGCCCATGTCTTGTCTTGAGGATACCGGGGGCCATACCCCCACAGTTAGTCCCCAAGCCTGACAGTAGGTGATGTAGTCACGTGGTGCCAGGGTCAAAAAGTAGAAGACCAGCCGAGCAGGCAGCCAGTCCCCGGGCGTAGCCTCGAAAAGCACATTCACCGCAAGGTGAAGTGTGCCCACTTAGTCCCCGAGCATGCTGAAAGATGAAGAGTGAATCTTGTAGCAGGGTCAAAGAAAAAGAAGTCTAAAAGCTTGCCGACGTCGTCTGACATGCGCGTATCAAGACCCCCGGCGTGCTGCCCAAGATCAGCACCTTGATACGAACAGCATGGAGCAGCTTGATAGCACACCGATGAGACATAGCAAGATCCGAGCAGCAAGGAAATCCCCGGCGTCGCTGGCGATGTTCGAGCACCGAGGAGCGAGGAGTCCCCGGCGTAGTTGGCGATGTCCAAGCACCGAGGAGCGAGGAGTCTCCGGCGTCGCTGGCGATGTCCGAGCACCGAGGAGCGAGGAGTCTCCGATATCGCTGGTGATGTCCGAGGAGCGAGGAATCCCCGGCGTCGCTAACGATGTCCGAGCGCCGAGGAGCGAGGAGTCCCCGACGTCGCTGGCGATGTCCGAGCACCGAGGAGCGAGGAGTCCCCGGTGTCGCTGGCGATGTCCGAGCACCGAGGAGGGAGGAGTCCCCAGCGTCGCTGGCGATGTCCGAGCACTGAGGAGAGAGGAGTCCCCGGCGTCGCTGGCGATGTCCGAGCGCCGAGGAGTCCCCGGCGTCGCTGGCGATGTCCAAGCGCCGAGGAGCGAGGAGTCCCCGGCGTCGCTGGTGATGTCCGAGCACCGAGGGGCGAGGAGTCCCCAGCGTCGTTGGCGACGTCCGAGCAGTGAAGTGTGCCCACTTAGTCCTCGAGCACGAAGAACCCGAGCGCCGAGGAGTAACCGACGTCGCTGGCGATGAAGCACGACCGGCGAACAGTCCGATCAACTGGTCGGCGACGGAGTCCATGAACCAAGCGGTCCGACTAGTTGATCGGTGGAGAAGTCCGAGCACTAGGTGATCCGATCACCGAACGATGATCCTACAATACAAACATATAGAATGGGTAGTACATGATGTAAAAATATATGAACTTCGGAGAAAAAAAATAGCGTATGTAGCTTGGCAAACCGCCCGACCAGTTAGTGTGTAGTTGAGTCTCTAGCCCTAGCTAGCCCATAGTCCATAACATCGAGCGCGGAGCCCGTGCACGTGTAGGAGGAATAGGCATCACCAAGGAGCCGATGCCGACCACCCATAACGCAGAGGGCAGACGCTCGTGCACGTGTAGGGAGGAGCCGGAGACAGGGCCATCTCTGGAGGCATCCGAGCGTCAACATGACTGTTCGAGGGTTTGGAAAATCGTTTGGAGAGCAAATATAGAGAAAACAGTTTGGAGAAATATTATGGCGATATACGAAGATTGGAGAATATTTAGAAGAATATTAAAACGTGACTTAGCTTTAGACGGAGCGTCTGGTCGGCGACGTATGGCGTTATCTGGTCGGCGTTGATGAAGTTGCCCGATGCTCGAGCTTTCCGAACTATCGTCATGGCGGCTGTCGCAGTTGTCATGGCGCCGTTCTTCGCGGCGATCATCATTGCGACGCGGTCGGTGGTCGGAGTAAGTAGTCCAGGCGACATCGTCCTTATATTAGTGATCGACTTTAGGAGATTCGGTGAGATCATTGACTGGTCGGAGAAACGATGCTGCACGGCGGAGTAGATGGGGCGTGGCCGAAGCGTGCGTTGTCTTGTAGTCATCGTTGGAGTAGCAGGATCTGGTAGTCGGACTGGTTCGGATGACCTGTTCATGCGTGTATACCTATCGGGGACCTAATACTGGGATACCCCAGAAGGTGGAACCAATAACTACCGAACGATAAAAACTTCTGGACGAATAAGGGCGCCGTAGCGTTCCTTGCTCGAACGACAGGAGTTTGGTTCCGCCTCGTGCCTCGCCCGAGGGCTCAGGGCTAGTCTCCGTCTCGCCCGACGCCTTTGGGGCGGGCATGGTCTCGCCCGAGGGCTCAGGACTAGTCTCCGACTCGCCCGACGCCTATAGGGCGGGCTCGGTCTCGCCCGAGGGCTAAAGGATAGACTCCGCCTCGCCCGACCCTGGAGGGGCGGGGTCGGTCTCGCCCAAGAGATAGGGATTGGTCTCCGTTTCACCCGACGACCAGGAACGAGCCTCGCCCTGCTCGATATCTAAAGACTAGTTTCATCTTACCTGACAACTCCACCCATTCCCTCATAATGATGGGTACAGGGCAAGATAAGACGTTCGGGTCAACCATGGCTCTAAGGACCATACCCTGCACCCTGGTAGGAAAAGTACTACCGGGGAACGACGTGACAGGTGCTTTAGACCCTTCCAGGCGCCGCAGAGCCCGAAAAGTGTTACAGGTGCGTGCTCTTCGCCCTATAGAGTTGTAGGCGCCGCCTTCAGCTCTGGGACATGGAACCCGACGAAGATATACAACAATCGCTATGCTCTAGAAAAGGATTTCCTATCTCCACAGACGATGGGTTTTCCGTCACCACGCTATGGACCCAGGGGAGCGGTGCCCGCTTCCCGACCCCCCAGGTCCACCAAGACAGAAGACCTTGGCCACGGCGCTACTCCAGACCCCGACCCCGCGTCCCTCCGACGAAGACTCATAGGAACCAGAAGGCGTGCGGAGCAAGGCTGGGGGAGGCTCATAAGTCAAAACCATCATATTTGTGGCCCATACCTGCGCAAGAAGGTAGCATTCTATAACCAAACGACGACATTCTACAGAGACATCGACAGTATTGTAGGCGCTTATCTTCCTTCGCACTCATCAGAATGAAGAACCAGGCCGGGTAGACGTGAGCCACAAGACTAAGTAGAG